TGAGAATGTTTCCGAAAATATTCAAACCATCTTTGTTAACAGTGCACAAGATCTCTGCATAAGCAAGGTGGAGCTCCCACTAGCTTTGCTGTGATGACAAATACGACTTAAAAGTTTATACAAGCTTAGTCATCCCTACTGCCGCACTGGGAGCTGGTCAGAAACCACCCCTGGCATTTCTCTCATAAAGCAACCAGTGCCAGCTTGCTATTTTGGGAAAGGAAGCGACTTATATTTTCTACCAGGCCTGAAACAAAACTGCAGTCTTTCTGCAGCTCTGCTGTTGAAGGCCCATCAGCGTTTCCACAGTGAACCTTTATTTCCATGCTTGTGAAGAAATAGATGTGCTTTCAGACAGCATTTGGCCAAAATAAGTACCACTCCTGATGCTACTTTTTTTGAAGTGGTTTGTAAATAAACACAAGCAAACATTTTGTGCTTTCAGGATCATCCCATTCCAGCTCCTGGAAAATGCAAACCCTATACGTTCCCTGGGGCTTCTTGCCAGTGTTGGCCATTTTCCAAAGGGATCTTCTAGTCTTTTCAGGTATTTTCTCTGTATTTGAGTGCCACAGAAAACAACTGAGCAAAAAGCAGGAGAAAAAGAATGATGAAGCCGATGTCCAATCTCCAGTAGAGTGAGCACTGGACATCCGCACTCCTTCATTCTGCTTTATGTAATTTGAGGGCTTTGATCCCACAGTAACTGTGTGTTCACACGTAGCCATCAGTACTGACTTCATCACAAGAACTGGGTTCCCAAAGGGCCTTTCTGAGTAACGTACACATCAAAACCAGCATTAGATGCGCTACTGCAAGTAAGGCTACAGTTCTCTCCTGGTTACTCTGTCCCTATCCCCTGCTTCCTGCCTGCCTGAGAACCCCAGTCTGGGTTCCCCCTGCCATTCCTAACTGTGGAGAGATCAGGAAGGATCGATGTCCATATGATTCCTCAAAAGACACATGGGTTGGGTAGAAAGCAGTGGCAGACTGGTCAGCACCAGAGATTAGAGATTGCTGTCTCGTCCTGCCATAGGCGCTGGGAAAAAAAAACCTCAGGAGAATGTGGGATTTTTGCATGATCAACCTCACTGACTTCTTATCAACAGTCCGTACTTTTATTCCAAGCATCTTCCTCTTAATTGTTTTACAGTTTCCATCACAAGCAGCATTATTCTCTCCCTTCTACCCATCTCCCCATGTAAGATCCTGCCCTTCTCCACAGCCTGACTCCCATTTCCCATTCATTGTGACATACAAGCAGCAAGCAAACTGGCGCAGATGAGCCTAACTGCCCTTTATCCCTAGGAATGCACTCCAGACATGCACGTTCTTTGCACCCAACAAATCCTTCCATGTGGTCCAGATTGCATGGTACAGCTTCTGTACCACCATCTCCCTCTTCTATCAGGAGCTCAGCTTTTCCATGGAGAGAGCTAAACTGGTTTAATATAAACACCTTCAGTAAAACCATTACAAAACCCCATGTAGCCATGGTTTAAATCAGGCTCAAGTGAAACTAGTCAGGGATGGCTTCAAATTAAATCAGAGAAGAGAACCTATGTTAGAGGAGTTTTGTCACTTTTACTCCTGCAAATGTGTGTGGCTTAAGCCTAAATGAAGGACTTCAAACCTTCATTTGCACCTTTTCTATTGTGCCTCCTTTTGCCCTGCTCTGCACTAAGCACAATAACAGCCCGCTAAAGAAGACCTAGTAGTGTCCAGAAGCTGCTTTCTTTATTCCAGATCTTTAAATATTAATTTCTACTCTGCCTGATGAAGTGTGCTGTTGTACGAAGCCATGTGGCTCAGTCAGCTGGAACCACTGAAAGGAGAAGGCCAATGTTATCCTGGGGTGCATTAAGAAGAGTGTGACCAGCAGGTTGAGGGAGGTTCTCCTCCTCCTCTACTCTGCCCTGGTGAGGCCACATCTGGAGTACTGTGTCCAGTTCTTGGCTCCCCAGTTCAAGGGAGATAGGGAACTTCTGGAGAGAGTCCAGCAGAGGGCTACAAAGATGATTCAGGGGCTGGAGCATCTCTCTTATGAGGAAAGACAGAGAGAGTTTGGTCTGTTTAGCCTGGAGAAGAAAAGACTGAGAGGGGACTCTATTAATGTTTATAAATATCTAAAGGGCGGGTGTCAAGAGGACGGGGCCAGACTCTTTTCATTGGTGGCCAGTGACAGGACAAGGGGCAACGGGCACAAGTTGGAACACAGGAGGTTCTGCTTAAACATGAGGAAAAACTTCTCTACTCTGAGGGTGCCAGAGCACTGGGACAGGCTGCCCAGAGAGGTTGTGGGGTCTCCATCTCTGGAGATATTCCAAACCTGCCTGGATGCCGTCCTGTGCAACCTGCTCTAGATGAACCTGCTTTGGCAGGGGGGTTGGACTAGATGATCTCCTGAGGTCCCTTCAAATCCTGACCATTTTATGATTCAGTGAGAAGAGTCAGAGAGACACAGCAGTCCCAGCACTTTTGACTTTTTTCCTCAAAGTGAAGGGAAGGCAGTGGACACTTACCCATCACCTCTTGCGCTTCAAGCAGGAAGATGTCACTCCAGGGCCCACATCCTGCAGAGTTCAGCACGCACACCCTGATGATCAGGTCTTTGAGAGGATTCCACGTTGTCAGATTAGCTTTTGTATCCTGTACGATCATCTCCCCCTGAGAGCAAATGGCAACAAACTGTAAGCTATCTTAAAAGGAATCTAGTCTCAAACTTTGTCTTTAAAACTAAGTCAAAACATTACTGTGTACTTCATTGGTGCTATAACAAGGGTTGGGAGTTGTGACTCCTGGGTCCTAGTCTCAGTTTTGCCACTAACTTGGGCTGTCATCTTGGGTTTCTCTTCTCAAATACTGCTAATAGCTTCCAGGCCATAGGGAAAATATGAGGTTTAAAGATTTCCTCTTTTGAGGTCCTTTCATGAAAGTTGCTATAGAAATGTTTTTTTTTTCCTGCTATTAAAAGATACACCTCCTTGTGGTTTAAACACAAAGATGCACTAACATACTGCAAAGCATCTGACAGTTTTAATCCAAGGGAGGAGCCTGTCTGTTTTAACTTGCTGACCAAATCCCAAATGGCTTCTGAATTTCATGGTCAATTTTCACTTAGGATGGCAAGGTCAACGTATTTTCAGTAATTTTGTGGATCTTCATCATACACATCATTTGCAGTAAACCCATGAAGATCTGGCTGCCACCACTGACACAATGTAAATTCACTGAGAACTCAAAATACTCTAATTCAAAGTCAACAACGCTGACCTAGTATGAAACGGGTCATGCAAAAAAGGAAATAAGTCTCTTTTTGCTCTAGCTGTCTATTATTACAGGCTTGTTCATCACTAATAAGCACTGGCTAAATACACATTAAGAAATGCTGTGAACTTCAAAGGCAGATAGATACCTGGGAAATGTCAATGCTGAGGAACAAATGAAAGGCCTTCTACCCTGACAGGGTCCTTTCAACTCCCTACATATTGTAAATCAACTAAAAGAATCCGCAACATTTTTTCTGTGATTTACAGTATAACTTATTCACTTGTTAAATACACCTTTGCTGCTAGGATTTGGAAAGCCAAGTCCCAGCCACAGGAGACAAAAAGCCCAGATCCGAGCTGCCTTTGGGACAGCACTAGAAAGAGGCAGAGATGAACTGAATTCTCTCTATGTTGTCCTTGTCGTACAAGGAATAGCAGAGAACTCTTCTGTCTGAGATGAACATTCAAGTGATGGAATCCTGAATATGCCAGGAAGAGAGAAATGGGCCTAAATCTTGAGGCCAAATACTGAGGAGCTGTGGCAAAACTGAATAGATCCATTTATACAAAAGCCATTCCAGCAACTTAGTCCCCTGGTATGGATAAGGGATGAGGGACCATAATGCCTAGAAAATTTAGTATGAGCATTCTCCAACTCTGTGCCCAATGGCTCGGCTTCCCACTCGATCTGTTACCTGAGTTACATTATCCTGAATCCATTCCAGCCTGTATCCCAGCACATTTTCTTTCAGCATGTCTGGAGCCACACCTTCCCACTCCAAAATCAGACCAGGATCTCTTTGGATAACATGGATATTTTGTGGGGTGCTGCTTGGAGCTGAAAGCAGAGGACAGAACACAATCACTCTATGCATGAAAACAAGGAACTATCCACACCGAAACTGGCTGAAAAGACAGTTTCACCCTCTTTCCTGAGATCAGCTGGAAGAGAGCATGAGGGGAGAGAGCAACTTCTGCAAGTCACGAGTGGAGAAGATAAGGTTGGTCAGCATCTCTTGTTTCTTTCCCAGACCCCAGGAATGTCAGAGAGCCAATGGGACATAAGTCCAGCATGCAGAAGCCCCATGGCTGGATCAATCTGTGTATCATGCATCATTGCTGTTGACCACATTTGACTGCACATTGTTATTTTATGTTAGGTGTTAGGAGACCCTTAAGAGTGGACAAGCAATCTGACAGTATGTTTCCTGCATTTCAGAATTAGTAAGGCAGAGTTCAATGAAGTTTATCATCATCTCTTTCAAAGATTTAGAACTGCTTTCCCTGTTCTTGTCTGCTATTTGCTTACCAAGCTCCAGGGTCTGAAAATAAACCCTGTCAGTGAAAGGGGAGCTGCCCATCTCATTGCTGCACTGCACACGAACACTGTAGTTGGTGGAATGCTTCAGACCTTGCACGCAGTAGGCAAAGGGGGGCACTGGGGTGACTTCAGTGGAGACCTCCTGGCCATCTGGTGACTCAGCTACCTGTGTCAAGAGTTGAAACAGCAAAGACTGTTACCATAAGCCATATGACTAACAGGTCCAGAGGGATAAGAATCCAATTCATGGTTAGTTTAGGAATGTTTAAGAATAGATATAGTACCAGTAGTGTTTAAAATACTGAAAAGGGAGATGTCAAATTAAGAATCACGAGCCATGCCTTTATTTGGTTTAAGTGACACCACTCTCCTAACTCTGGCAGTATAATTTTCCACCAGATGAAAATTTGCTTCTGTATTTTAAAACATTTCCTTACCTATGTTACAAATCCTACAGTTGATTATTATTTCCTTTAAAGAAAAAGAAATGTGCTTGTTGCTTTGAGTGCTAGCAGCTGGTTTCTGAGGCTTGTCTAAATTTGGGCAATGAAAACTGGAAGATCAACTTCCTTGTTGCCTACTGTTTCCTTTTTCTCAACTCCTTTTTCAGAAGTTTGCATATTTTCAGTTTTGCAGTGGATTTCAGACACAGTAGACACTGGTTTCTTGGTTCAATTACACTGTTTCAAATGAAACTCAAAAGAAATTTTTTACCACTCCTGCAACCCTCCTTTTTTTTTTTCTTTCACGTTTTTAAGCAACGTGAATGTTAATTAAAATCTGATATCACTATGCGCTTTTAATGCACAGAGAGTTTCAATGTTCCTGCTTTTGTACTGACAGTAGCAGAAAGCACTGCATAGCTCCCAGGCTCAGCCTTTCTTCACAAGTGCATAAAAACCAGCAAAGTTTGGAGTAAAAGCAAGGTATATTGACAAAAGTGAAACACTCATGGACTTTATATTCTTTACATTCTTTATATAGCAGTATTTCTCCCTTTCCCCCTGCCTTTTTGCTCATTCTCACGTATGTTTTTGGCCCACTGATTTATTTGGCTAAAAAGGAAGAATCTCAAGTTTCCTTAATAGAAAAGCATATTGTTGTCATTATCAGTGTCATCCAAAGCAGGGAAAAAACAAGCAGACTTTTGTGTAAAACGTTGTCAGTTTGACGATGTGTTTCTTTCTGTTCAACAGCCTGAAGAGTCGGGGCTCTTACATCTGCCCCCTTTATATCCTAGAACATGGCTTGTGTTAACAGTGGGTAAACACAGTGAGTCCCTTCGCTGTCCCCAGAAGCAACCTGTCTATCTGAACATGGTGCAGTGCTTTTGAGGCACTTGCTGCAATTCCTGAGTGATAGAAAACCACAGCCAAGTTTCAATCCCCCTTCTCTTTCTGGGAGGCTTGGAGAAGTGCAATGGTGGGGAGCCAGAAGTGTGTGCATTTTCACATGGAAATATGGGTCAGTGTCTCTCACAAAATCTCGCAGTGTGGGAGACAGAGGAAGCACAGCTTTCTGTCAGTGGAGGGTTACTGCCAAGTTACCCTGCTCCCAGATCCAAACACAGGAACTTCGTCCTCCCCGAATAGAACAGAAAAGGCTTAGAAAAGGGGTGAGAGACTGCTGAGTGGACAGGAACTGAGCTGCTCTGATTCAGCCTCTTTTCCACAGGTCCCATCCCCCCAACCCCTGCCCTTGCCAAAAGTGAGAGGGGGAACTCAAAATCCAGGGTGATTAGCATTGCAGCATGCCAGCCAGAGAGAATAGGCTGTTCCAACTGGAGATAACTCCCATCGTAAAACAGAGGAAGAAAACCATTTTGGACTGCAGAACAAGAACAGAAGCAGCAACAAACCCCAGAGATCAGGGCCAGTTTTATTCAGGCATTCTTTCTGCCAGGGAGTTAAAACAAGATAATGGTTTATTTCACTCGTGAAAGGGAAAAAACATAGGAGCATGAAACCTCTGTTTTCCTCCCCAAATAAAGAGGATCGCAAGTAAATTAGCTAGGTTGCTTCCAGCATGTCTTGTGTTTATAATCCTCCTCTCCATAGAAATTCTAATCCAGCTCACATTGCTGCTGTAATCAGGTAGGGAAAACCCAGGGGCTCAATATTCACACCTAACAGGTAAATCCATGGGGAATGTGTCTAGCTGTGTTTGACCTGCTTCAGGAATCAACATTTCTTTTTGACACTCGGTTCCCAGCTATTTGATCTGATTTTACAGTTAAGTGTGCAATGCTAGAAACTAACTCTGCCTGAAGTTGGACAGGTACCATTGCTCCCAGGAAGCTAAAGAAGCAATCCAATTTTTCAGAGACGTTGAGCACTCAGCACCCAGTACAGCTAAAGGATATTATCACCCTTGATTTTCTAAGCAGAACTGGTCTTTGACAATGGAAAACCTATCAAGATTTAGAAGCAGGCCTTAAAATGACACTGAAACATGCAAACAGGCCTGACTTTGTAGCAAAAAGCCCAATCAGTCTCCTGCCTCCATCATTCCCACCTTTCCTCTACTACATCCTATGCTTCATAAGGTCTTCATCCCTTGGGCTTACTGGTATGTCCAGTATATCCCAGCATTTCTTCTGACACTGCAAAGCACAGGGCTGAGCTGGCATGGTAGTGTCACAGGCCACTGCACTCACTGGAACAAGTTACCACAAGCCAGCTGGTCCATGCTAGCAGGAGGTGTGAGCACCCTGCAGCCACTCAAGGGCACTTCCCACAGAGTGGTATGTGTTCCACTCGTGCTGCAGTGTACGTACAACCCTGCATGGAGTAGCTGCCACGGAGCAGTTGATGTGATAATCTGCCAGGAGGGAGATTTTTGGGGGCTAGTCTCAAATTCTCAACTGGACACTTCATGTTCAAAACTGACCCTGCTGCTCGGCACCTATTTATGAATCACAGAATCACAGAATGTCAGGGATTGGAAGGGACCTCGAAAGATCATCCAGTCCAATCCCCCTGCCGGAGCAGGAACCTAAATGACATCACATAGAAAGGTGTCCAGGCAGGTTTTGAATGTCTCCAGAGAAGGAGACTCCACACCCTCCCTGGGCAGCCTGTCCCAGTGCTCTGTCACCCTCACTGTAAAGAAGTTTCTTCTCAAGTTTAAGTGGAACCTCCTGTGTTCCAGCTCACACCCATTGCCCCTTGTCCTACCATTGGACATCACTGAGAAGAGCCTGGCTCCATCCTCATGACACTTGCCCTTTATATATTTATAAACATTAATGAGGTCACCCCTCAGTCTCCTCTTCTCCAAGCTAAAGAGACCCAGCTCCCTCAGCCTTTCCTCATAAGGGAGATGCCCTGAGTTGCATCCTGTTAAGCTTCCATGTTTTAAAACTGTGGAATAAGAATTTAAATGCTGATACAAAACAATTAGAACAAAAGATGGCCCAAGCAGTGGTGTGGCTCAGGGGAGACCTATTCTTCATGCAGGGAAGGGGACAATCCAGAAGGGCCATACCTGAAGAGTGCAAGAGTGGAGGGGTGCGCGGCCATCAAATCCTGGCACCCAGACCACGCTGGCATTGCTGCTGGTGACTTGGCTTACAGTTACATTGAGAGGCTGGAGAGGCATGGCTAGAAAGGAAACAAAGAGACCTTTCAGTATCCACAGAACTGAGCAGGTATTCACATGAAAATAGCAAAGGCTCGAGGCTAGAAATTATGCAATGAAACCACTGACAGAAATGGTACAATATCACACCTCTGGAGTGCCCCTGCTTGTTGCAAATGAAACTATTATCTTAACATTGAACAAGCTATTGGCATCCATTCTTTAATAGTCCAGCATACTTGCTTGATGCATACAGGCAGCACTTTATCTCTGATAGCAATGCCAGCGTGTGATGTTTACACCTTGGCTACTCAGCCCTCTTCCCCGCCCCCTCTATTGCAATGCATGACCCAGCTCAGCGCACACAATTACCTGTGGACCTACATTGTGAACCAAATCAGGGCTTTAAAATCCCCCCTCTGGTTCTCAGTCCAGCCCCAGAAACCAGCTCTGCCAGCACCAGTGGAAGGGTGGTTTGCTGTAGCAACCTGAGTACCCTGCAGTTGGATTTGCAGTAGACCACTTCATGCTGTGGACACGACGCCTCCAGGTCACCATTCCAAACCCTTCCTGAAACACCCTGGGATGAAGCCTGGACTGAAAACCATGCCTCCTTTAGACTTGGGATGAATAAACTCAGAAAGCTCTCTGTTTTATAGAGGGGCAATTTGAGGCAAAGGGAGCGCCTATTACGTGGCTGATAGCACCCTATCAGGGCGTAGTGTGCTATCAGCCAAATGAAGGGCAGAGCCAGGAACACAATCAGGATTCCCAGACCAGCCATTTAATCAGATGTTTGTGCTTCCTACCACCACAGAGCAGCACCAGAGCACTGCCCCTCCGCTCTCGCTCTGACCAGACACCTCCATCACTTCAGGGGCCTCTAGCATGTTGTCAAATTAACCTGAGCTCTTTGGCTTCTTTTTAGGATCCTCAGTGCTTCTTTCTGCCACCTCCTTTCCTCCCACTGTAATTGCACAGTTATTTCCTATTCTTCCCAATATACCCCTCACCATCTTTTTCACTCCCGAGCCTCTGATTGTATTTTGGCACCTCACTCCTGAAAAAAATTACCAGTTTCATGAATACTAACCTCTCCTCTGACCTTTTGCTCATTTTAAAAAATCCTACGCTGCTGCCATGAGTAATACTTTTTCTGTAGCACATCAACAAATCGTACCCTTAGGAGTTCTCCTTCAAAAACCCAACAGTCCTTGGGACAGGGCTCTGCCTACAGACTGAATTTTTCACCTCTCCTGAGCTGCATCCAGTGAAAAGCAGCAGCAGAAAAGTAATTGCAAATCAGGATTCCTCCAGCTGCATCTTCTGCTCTGCCAGAGAGCACCTTTGTCTCTCATTGCACGGAGGAGAACCACAATTCTGTCTTCAGCATCTCCACAGGGAGAAATCTCGTAGGAGAAATGCTTAGACCAAAGCCCCCTCCCAGGTCTCTACAGAAGCCCTAGGGGAGAGGATGGGGCTGGGAACAGATGGTGCCACAGATTAACCCTATAAACCCTTTGTTGTCTAGTTAACTAGTTACCAGGACTCGGGGCAGGGGGCTGTCACCTAGATAAGAACTGTGTGCATGGGTGGGAGGTGGGGCAGCAGAACATGGGTCTGGGATGGAAGATGGGCAACAAGTTCTTTTCCTTCCAGTCAAAGATCTTTGTGAGTTAATTTAGACTTTCTGTGTCTTGATTTCTTTTGATGTTGGGTATTCAGGTTTGTCAGCTCTTTGGGGGGAAAAGGCTTGCTTTCACTGCTTACTTGGGTATCATTGACACACTGCCCTCAAGTCTTTTGTAAACACACTCATAACTTTTGGGATTAGCAACATGTAACTTTTAACACTGGATGGCAGACCCAAAGGAGGTACGGGCTACATTACCAGTGAGAATAAATAATCAGTTGCCAACACATCCAGTCACGGAGAGAGCCACTGAAAAGGGTTGGCTTGCTCGCACTTTCCCCTAACTGTGGAGTTTGTAGGAGGGACAGATGCATTGTGTGTTGGGAAAAGACTCTGGGTGGCTGTTTCCTATCATGCTCTGAAAACACAGGATACAACCCTAAAAGTCTTAGCTGCACACACGAAGGAGAGCAAAACCAGACTGAAAACAGGACCCTGAGTGTTAACATAATGAGAGTTAACATCCTCTGTGCTCGTAGAGTGGCTGGAACAATGGGGCTTTGTACATGGCTGGGGACTGTGGGCTACAATAACAGTAATTTTCTGCTTGGAGTACACCCAGCACATTGTGGGTACTACAGGGAATAGATAATAAACAACAATGGCAGCAAATAGGAAGAAATGTTAACAGTTTGTAAATGTCCTAGCAAAAGTATTTGCCTCTGGAAACACAGAAGAAACAAATTGTTTAATAAATTGTAAGAAGACTTGAGAGTCCTCATTAGCAGATGGATCTGTGTAAGAGAGGAAGGCTCTGATCACACACGTACGGATAACTACTCCCAGGAGTAATTTCACTGAAGCCTACGCATTCGTAGGATCAAGGACTAAATAAACATACCTGGGCCTGTTCCTGCTGCTATCCTCGTTAGGAGCTTTAATTTTAACAGGAGTTGTACTAGATCGTCAAAACTTTTGCTCTTTAGAAGAGCCTCATCACTTCCCTAAATTTAGAACTACACTTTTAGACATCTTTGAGGTACTACAGTTAGAATTTTACTACTACAATGCCAGACTTGCCATTTAAAACCTGTTTTTTATCTCTAGGACATGCTACATACTGGTGCAACGTCTGCAAATCACTTAAGCTTGCTCTTCCTCACCTCTAAAAAGGGTGTGTGCATGCACGTACAAGTGTGTGATGGCAGGATGTCCCTTCCAAATAGGTTGTGTGGATTCATTAGCTGATAATTGGACCACTTTTGGCTAAAGGTAATTGCTGGGAAATGTGAGAATTTCAAGACCTTGACCCCATCAACTTATTAATGGTTAAAAAAAAAAAGAATTAAAAATATCTCTGTTAACCTTAAAAAAAAAAAAAAGCTTGTTTATGCTAAATGTTGTTTCAAATTATGTCTTGATGAGATATTTTTGAAAGCGTAATAGCTTTGTGAACTGAATTCTATCCCAGGATAAAAATATCCATAGAAGACATATTCCACAATAACTAATTCCCCTGTGTAGACAAGCCTTTAAGGCAACAACTCCAAATGTTTTTAAATTAAGTTATAAATCTTACTAGTCCAGCATACTGCATTCTTGGCATAGCAGTAACCACAATGTCCTGAAGAAAAATACACTGTAAGAGCGGTAGATCTACAGCTGTATTTTAAGCTGTCCTTTAATGAATATTAGCTAATAAAACTGTGAGTTCTGATACAGACATAAATGCTTGCTCTTATTTGTGCTGCGCAATAAGCTACCTCTTGGAACAAACAATTTTTGTGACATGCCTCTCCTGGAACTGATAATCATGTCATTTAATGCACATTAAAGCATGACTAAAAATTCAAATGCAGAAACATCTCAACATGAAGAGGAGGGGAAGAGCTGATTGCTCTGATTATCCCTGTTTCAGTCACCTGGAGGAACAGAGGAAACATGACATCAACTTAGGGACTTCCAAATGGCAACTGTCACGCAAACGCTAGGAATTACTTGTTCTGAATTAGTTTTTAAAGAGCAAAGAATTAAAAAAAATAAAACCCTAAAACTAGCATGGATGAGCAAGACTTTCCTGGCCCACTGGTGATCACCTTCCTTGTCTTTTTTCAGCATCTAATGTGATGCCAATAGAAGCAGGCAGAAGTAATGGCCTCTTTAACTCTAACAAGACCCATCTATCTCCAAGAAGGAAAGATTTCCCCAGCTACACACTTATATCCAGCTTCATCTCTCACAATTTGACTGCTGTGACTCTCTCCTTTTCAAGGAAAAGCTGTTATTTGACATCACATTTCCACCCCTGAATCAGATGTGGTTTATTTTCAACAGCCTGGGATACAGCCCTGCATAGCAAGCGGGAACTCCTGTTAGAGCACAAAGCATTGTTTCGACTGCCGAGAGCTCCAACCGGTACTGGCTGCTGGCAGCTTTGAGATGTCCTCTTGCATTAAGGAGCCCTACTTTCCCTCCCCAGAGGGCAAACCCAAGTTCCTTGCCCATTCTCTTCCACTCTCTCACCTTTAATTTGAACAGTGGCTGTCCGAGATGAAGACAATCCCTTTACGTTGTGAGCTTCGCAGGAGAAAACTGTGCTTTGATTAATACCTGGAGATCAGTCAAGAAAAGGAAAGGAAACACAAACAGCTATATAATCCAGCTTCAACCTTCAGCAGAATTTCAATTATGTGTGACATCCAGCTCAAGCTGTATAGGCAACTGGAGGGATGAGCTGGGTGCTAATCAAAGGCACATGAATTTCAATGTAATTAACGTGCTAAACACATTTTTAATGGAGGGAATGTGGCAACATAGAGGAGCTTCCACAGGAGCTTCAGAAAGCACTGAAAAAGAAAGATGAATCTGTCAGAACAGTAGCTCACAGTGCTCAGTTAGAAGACAACCACTTCTCACTTTCCAGCGAGCACCTCTGGAGGAAGGATCGTGCTGAACCTTGTGCGCATACAACACCCAACGCTCTGGACCTCATCCTGCCACGTAAGCAACAACCATCTTCTAACTGGCCTATAAGCCCAGGCAAACTCCCAACCAGACACTGCAGATTTCAGGCTAATACCCACCTGTCCCTCACCTTTCACTACACTTTTGAAAAGACACGTAAAGGAAGTGGAAGTAAAATGCTACTTCATCAGCACTGAGGCACTTTACAGGAGTGATACAATGCCAAGTGAAGACTGCACTCCCTCTCTTCTGTGAGCATCCATCCATCCTACAGGGCCTCCACAAGGCATCATACTGATGTCCAGCTGCTTCAAGGTGCATCTAGGTATTGCTAATTAATCAGAACTGAGAGATTTGCAAAGCTGCCTGGAGAAGTGTATCCAGCATATGTTTTCACTCGACTTGGCCTTCAGTTGCCTTATAGGGCTCTACCTGAGAAAAGTTAAGGATTGGCTCGCTACAGGCATACAGTTTAGGAGGGAAAAAGACTTCAGAGCTGCACAGAGCAGTTTGCACAGTGTTTGTCTTTGCCTTTTGGTTCATCTCCCAAGCCTGAGATTAACAGCACTGTGAAGAAGGTGTGGTGGAAGAGGGGAGGGGCTACTATAAAATGAAAGAGAAAAAGATTTTAGCTTCTTCCACTCACCCTAGTAAAGCAGAGGAAAATGCTGCCAGCAGGCTGAAGGCCAGGCAGCAGAGCAGAGCAGCACCTGACGTGGTAGACATGTCCCAAAGACAGAAGCAAACACAGCCCTGCCCTGAGGAAAACACAAAACACACCACAAACCAAGATCTCCTTACTCTCTAGCACCGTTGCCAGCACTGCTTTCCAAATACAAGTCTTTTTATGAAACCAACTGCTTGCTGAACCTTCTAAATGTTTGCTTTCTAGCCAGTACTTTATTATTATTTTCTTCAGAATCTGATACTTTCTTTAGCTAGCAATGCTTGTTTTCTTACCAACTGTATTTTCTGACGTGTTTTGGCAATCTGATCATGCAGCTTGTGTCCTGCTACATTTTTTCTGTTGCAAAGACAAGATCTGCCCAAGGGACATCCCAAAGAACAGTGAAAAGGGCAAAGAAAGGTGCTGGTGATGAATATATATATAATAGCAACTCATTTGGAGAATCACTATGAGCAGATGCCCTTCTTCAGCCCCACCATGCCACTGCTCCACAATGACAGAAATTTTGTGAGGCACTGTGGATGAGTTCAGGGGAGGAAGGGAGACTTATTTTTATATTGTCTTTCCCCTCTCGACTATCAGTCTTTTCAGATTCCATTTCAACAGACAGATTATATCATAAGGGAGTAGTTTTCATTTCCAACTTGGAAAAGCATTGAGTGGCTACGTAAGAGAGGGAGCAGATGATAAAACCATTGCAAACCACAAACCAGGTTTTGCTTTACATATAAATTAGGTTCTAAGAGAAGGCTTAATAGGATTGGATAGCTCAAAGGATGGCCAAAGATACACAGGGAGAAACTCCCCCTGGGTGGAACTGTATTAACACCGATGAAGAGGCCCCAGAGACAACTCTGAGTCATAAAACCTTTTCTTTCTAAATAGCCAGTTTAACTTTGGCTCAGGGCTGCTGAGAATAATAAAACAGCAGCAAAGAGAAGTAACACAAAGCTATTGGACAACTGACTAGAACAAATTTACCTTGAGAGGGTAACTACAAGAATACCTGCAGTCAGGTCCTGGTAGGGACACATCACCCCTTCCCTGAAAGTGGGCTGAAGAGAGGCCTGAACATCTACTGGCTCCTGAGGTCTTCAGCTGACGCAGCTGGGGAAGGTGGTCTTACCACCACGCACCTAGTGCCAGCTCTGGGGCAAACCTTGGTTTATGAGGATACCAACCAGCCCACTTCAGCACCAATACAACCACTCTAAAAGTGTCAGACAATTACATGAGGTGGTCAGGTTTTAATAAGAGCATCCAGCAAGGCTGCAAGAACAGAGAGCGGGAGAAAAAGAGGGGAAAGCAGTGCATGATATGGCTGTGAAAAGGAGGAGAAGGTGGCATCTGTTACATGTGAACACTTGCAGATTTTCAAGCCAAATGTCACCAACAGCGTCACTTAATAGAACCATGAACATCATCCACGAGGTGAAACAAAAGAGGCACCCAATGCATCATCTGCCTGGTAGCATCTTTACCACAGTGCCAGCCCCACCCAAGCTCTGAAGAGAGCCTGTGCACCTCAAGCCAGCACAAAACACACAGGATAGCGATCATCCCTTAAGATGTGATCATGATCTCTCAGCCCTCAAAGACCATTCTCACCCTATGTGGCTACCCAGCATCACTAGGCATGATCAGAAGAGAGCTCTCCTCCTCTTCTGATGCTCAGTCCCCTGCATTGGCAGCAGCCTTACCTGACACATTTAAGATGGAGGGGGAGATGTCTGGAAGCCCCACTCTAGAGTCTCCCATCCACCAGACAATTGTCACTGGTTCAGGGGGACCAACAGCAGCACAGGCCATATGAAATGGGGCATTAGGGTACACGGACACATCCTCAGGTTCCACAGTAAAGTAGGGCACACCTAGAAAAGCAACAGACAAGTGATAATAACTGGAGAGACTCCTTCTCTGTCTCTTGTTTATTTCCACTAATACCAGCGCCCAACACTGGACATCCACCTGCCCTGCCTCTGTGCCTAATCTGACTCCCTCTAAGCCCTTCACAAGAACCAAAGGTCAGATATGTTGGATCACCTCAGGGCATGAATGTCTACATACTCCCACTAGAAAAAGTCAAAGAGAAAAGACTGCTTGCTGCCCAAAATACCTTTGAGAAACCTTTTTCACCGAGTCTCCTTCAAGACTCACCTATGAAGTAGCTTTCAGTGGCAGTATTTACTCAATTTTTCAGCTGGAGAGATTGAAGCTTAAAGAGGCAACAATCAATAACTTTAGCAGTGGCAGACACCACTTTAAGAGATACCTAATCCAGCTGCAGATACTTCTTGCTATGCATTAAAAACTGAAGCTTGTGAACACGTTGAACTAGTGGCTGTAACAAACCTATGAATGGGGAAAGAATCCTCCGGGTGAGAGACTGAGATCATTTACAATGCTCCCTCCACAGCTTAATTGACTGGAGCCACCTTCCAGCACGCTCCAACACCACGAGAACCAGGCTGCCCTGGAGTTAGGGGTAATTTGTTTCAGAGTTGAAGGCTATCCATGGACACAGCTCTCGATAACTATCTATTCCCCACTGTGGAAAGATTCCTGCTTGGTACAACAGGCTTTAGATCAGGTCCATAGGGAGCAAAACACAGCTACAATGCTATCTCAGATCATCTCTAAGCAGCAATAGCTGAACATGACTCAACACATCAAGAGATGTGGTTCCTCTTACAGACAATGCCAAAACTCTTGTGGCTTCAGTGCTCCAAACCAGTAATACAAAATTCACCAGCCACCAGCACCAGTGTTGACCCTGAAGGACAGCCAGTATACGCTTCTGGTGGCTGGTGGAAGAATTGAAGGTCCAGAGAAATGCTCAGTTCACTTTTATACCCAAAACTTCGAGTGTCAAGCATAGCTGCTACCAATGGGGTCTACACCAAAATTAGGTAGTCTCAGCTGGAAAAAGTGTGTTCTAGGAACTGCTGATCTGCTGCCTCACAGAAACAGAGGAGCCAACAACACCGAGCATTCACATACTTGAATCACACTGTCTGTCCCTGGCCAAAGATGACAGGCCTGAGCGGCTTTAGTTGGTGTGGCAGATGCTGAGCACCTCCAACAGCAGGCAATTAATGTAGGTGCCCAAACAGGGATTTAGAAGCCTAAGGCTTGGCATTTCCCCTACATTCCACTGCAAGTGGTGTCTTTCACTGACCATCCAGTTGCTGTTTGTGTCTTTTGAGGTGGCACTTCCCTTGTGCTTTCCTCACCTCTTTGCCACTCCCTTTAGATTGGGAAATAAATGAACAAACTAAAACAGGTCTAAAAATAGGTCACTTCAGGAATGGTGGCGCCTATCTGTACAAAGGCTAATGCTCAGGACAGGTATTTCCATCATCATGATTTATTGCAGATTTTTGTTTACATGTTTTACTTTTTTATTGCAGTCATGCATAAACAATAAAAGTGAGTAAACTTTCCAAATACCAGCTGTGACACATCTGCCTGCTTTGCCCTCCTTCTCCAAGGAGGATTAAAAGGGAAAATACCATCATTCCTTCTGCCTGTGAGCAGGCTCCCTGCCTCCTGTCCCCTTGCCATGGCACCCGAGGTAACCTTTTGGGAGGATCCTCCCCAGCTCGGCAGGTTTTCTCACTTTGGGAGCAGCTAACCAGATCAGACAAGACCACAATTAAAAACACTCAGAGTTCAGGGAGTGCAGCTGACTCATCCAGCTCAGGAACTCAGGCTGCCCCTGTATGTATGTTACCTGGATACTTCACTGTCTACAACACGTTTAGCCACCCAGCTCCTGGTACAAGAGGCGAGTGCTGGCACCCCGCTTTCACAGATGCACCATGGAGGCACTGAGCAGCCCACAGCCAGGAAATCAGTGGTAAAGCAAGGAAATGAGCCTGTATATTCCCTGTTCCATGCCGACATCCAACCTGTGGGACTGATTTTTTTCCTACAGCTCAGTTTTTAGACAGTTTTAATTCAGGGGGACGTGTCCATAGAGGTGTGGCTGGGGTTCTGACTGTAGCCACAAGAGGGGTTAACAGCCCCGGGAGCAGCCGCACACTCAGAGGTGTAATTTCAGAGCAAAGTTCTGTAAGAAACATAATCCTTATTTTTCAGGTGGTCACAAAGTATGCCTCTTAGATTACCTTCCCAGGCATCAAATACTATCATGTTCTCAGTAAGGCCAGAGTTTAGTTTTTAAACCACAAAACAGTTTCAAACTAATTTTGTTTTCATAAATTCTCAGTTGTGTTTCGTAAGATCAAATATTTCAGCTGCATTACAAAGTTCAAATATCATCACTACAAATTCTGCCTGATACAGACTACCTTTAGTGGATCTCCAGGGCAATATTAGACAGCATAGAATACCAGTAGTTCACACTTGTTTTGTGTGGCACACTGAAGGGTGTCAGCACCTACCAAAGGCTGCAAATGACCAGAGTAACCTCTCTCAGTCAAAGGGGACAATGGTTGTTATCCATACAGCAACCACTCCTGGATAAAGCCGGAACCCAGGGAAGAAATACATACAGCCGTAACAGTGACAGTGGGACTGATAGGCTTTTGCATTCCCTGGTGTTTCCTTATGCTAACAGCTGACACAGTTTTAAAAATCCGTCCCTTTTTTTAAAAAAAATTTTTATTTTCATTTTTTCCACTAACTCCCATTTCACATGATTACATGCGCAGTTAAAGTTTAACTAACTAGTTAACTCAGTTAACTAACTTCTGCCATACTTGCTTTCCTGAAGCAATACCTGAAGGGTGCCTACAAGAAAGCTGGGGAAGGACTTTTCATAAGGGCAGTTAATGACAGAACAAGGGGAAATGGGTTTAAGCTGAAAGAGGGGAGGTTTAGATTAGATATTAGGAAGAAGTTCTTCACTGTGAGGGTGGTGAGACACTGGAACAGGTTGCCCAAGGAAGTTGTTGATGCCCCCTCCCTGGAAGTGTCCAAGGCCAGGTTGGATGAGGCTTTGAGCAACCTGGTCTAGTGGAAGGTGTCCCTGCTGATGACAGGGGGGTTGGAACTGGATGATCTTTAAGGTCCCTTCCAATCCAGACCATTCTGTGATTCTATGATTCCTCATAAAGGCAACTAGCTGCATTTTTTTAGCTTATGCTTCCACTGTCAGCTCTGGCCTACATCCTCAGCACTCCCCCTTACCTGGCTGCAGCTGGTTTTTGCAACTTCGATATTTCTCGCCTGTGGTATCCAGAAGGGTTCCTTTGTTTTTCAGATGGCTTAGCACACTGAACTATCCAATCACTCCTAATGCACCCAGCATGCAAACGCAGCCACCTCTGGAGAGGGCCATGGTAATTGGAATAGAAATAGAAACTTGGCACAATAGAGAGTGTTTTAAGATATAAACAAAGTTCTCCAGTTGAAACTGCACCTGAAAATATAGGTGGACAAAAGCCTGGGACTTATGGAAGGCAGTAGGTAAGCGCTCCTCTTCCCGTGAGAACTGCTGTGAATGTTTCCATGGCTCTGAGTGAGACCTTTGCTGTAAAACACCCAGACCACACCACCTCCCACGATACTCTCCCCACTCCCCCTCTTTAAGACTGTTGATTCAGCTCTGGCCCAAAGTGTTACTACCTACATCCAAAAAGCCACTTCTTGCTGCAAACGCACTGTTCCTGTCAACTTCCTTAACAACTTAACTTAACCAAACATTAAGCCATTCTATGACTACTGCCTTCTGAGGATCTAACACAATCATGGCTCAAGAAAAAAGGAAACTAGAGACAGTAAGAAGCCACCGATCCACGCTGCCTTGGGCGACTTTTGGGCAACAATGTAGAAGTTATTCTTTATCAGATAAGACTGTGCAAATCAGTGCCACATGGAACAGTCACAGCTATGAAGTGCTGATGTACAGCACTTCTCCCAGAACTGAGAACTGGGCTAAAACTGTACCTTGCCCTCAAAGACCTGTTTGGCTGATACACAGAAGAAGGCTGTGACTTTGCTTTGAGAAGTGGGTTGGACCAGATGAACCCACAGATCCCTTTCAACATGAACCATCCCATCTACGAATTATTTGGAGACCAAAGCAACAACTGATTGAGGGGCTGGAAAGAAATGTGTGATCATGAAAGGATCTTTCACTTGTTTCCTAACGTGCCAAAATAAAACCAGAAGGTAATAAACTGACAGCTCCTCTCCTTGAAGCTACTCTTCTACCATTTCTTACTCCTGCTGTGCAGTGATCTCACTGCAGTTAGCAGCAATGGTTCAGAGCCAAGAAGCCTGTCACTGGAGCAATCTGCTCTCACCACTTCCACCTAGAGCATATTGGTGGGTCAGCCCTGAAAGGAAACCAGCACTACTACTACTCCTTACCTTCCACTATGAGCCATACTTGCTGTGATTCTTCCTTCTTCCCCCCGTTCTCAACCTGGCACCAGTACTTCCCAGAATCTGTCCGCTCGACGGATTTCAAGCTGAAAAAAGTCAAAAGCCACATCGATATTTTACGTGGATAAAGCACGTTTTTGCCCCAGAGGACCCTCCAGTGTTTGGCAAACCAGATGCATGAAAAACACCCACTGAGACGCAGGCAGCTCTGGGGAGGAGGGCAACAGCTAGCCAGCAAAGCACGCAGCAGAACAGCGGAGACAGGAGGCTCCTCTCTAAAGTGGGTGGAGGGAATCCTCAGCAGAGCAGACAGCCTTCCTCCAAAACCTCATCACAGAAAACCCGTCATCTGAGAGGTCCTTTGAGGATAGGAAGGGGTTGGTCATTGTGATCCTGAATCATGACTCTAGCTAGCCTTCAAGAGCGACAGCTTGGCCTACAGTGTCTAAGCTAGCAGGAAACTGCAAATCACAAACCTCTAACAAGCCCAATGGTTTTGCCTCGGTTAGGTGACAGGACTGGTGACAGCCTCATACAGGAACAGATGGGTCAGAAAAGGCCCCCCCTTGCCTCAACTACACTCCGTGTTATTCTTATCCCAAGAGCACCTCACACTGCAAAAGTCTTTGGGCCTCTCCATTTGTGATTTCAAAAGGTTATGCTCCAGCACAGGACCTCACCCTACCAACTCTTCTGTGTCCTCCCTTGCTCAGCAACAGGTCCCCTTCTGAGAAGATGCATCCAAGCAGGGGAAAGCAGCCACGGGGACTGAGCAGCATTCGGGTCATAGGCTTCCAGTTCAGGGGAGAAATTCTGCTCCTTGCTCCACTGCTGGAAATCTGCGGCATCCTCGCTGCCATTAGCAACATGAGGCTAGCGTGGTGGGTAAGGGCAGAATTTGGTCCCAAAGCAACAAGGTCTCGGCTACCAAAGGCATCAGTGTGACTCTGAGCATCTGTCAATGTACAAATGTTTATTGCCCACCACAGGATGTGCAGCCATGCGTCTGCTGCCATGCAGGGATCCTCGGCAGATCTGATGCCCGCCCTTCTAACACTAGCAGCCTGCCTTGGGGAAGGGAAAGAACATCTCAGGAAGGAAGACAGAAAAAAGGAAAGTGGTTGCTCAAACGCACAAAATGGACCCACTGCAGCCTGATTTTCAGAGCTGTACCTTCAAATGGCATCAGCTGTCCTGCTCATCCAGCCACATGTTCTGAAACACAGCGATCGCAGCAGAGAGTCACACAGTGGGTGGTAGAAATGATCACTTTAGGAGAAGAAAGCTTTAAGGTCCCTTCGATATGGATGCATCTAGATTTAGCACCTTCTATGTAGCCCTGGTGCTGCAGAAAGTTCTCAGTGGAGGAAAACAAAAGGCGAGAAAGGAGATCAGACTGAGAGACTGTGAGGGGCAAAGACTTAACCAGGGGAACTAGAGGAAAGTAAATGGTATAGTTTCAAGACAAGTTGTTTCCACAACGTAATTTTATGCAATAGTTTTACTAGGAACAGACTTTTTCCTATCAAAAGGTTTATTACAGACAAGCTTTAACACAGAGACTTTTAGTTGCTGGAATTGGAGACTCTATGCAATGTCAGTCCAAGAAACTTAACAGGAGATGAAGCCAGAGCTCAGGGAAGAGTGATTCTCAGTCATTCAACAGTTTTGAGCCCTCACAGTGATGGCACGCTTGCTTGTACAAGCTTTCTTAATGCATAGAAAAAGCCAGAGCAGAACTTTGGGTCTTGTTGAACTCAGTACTTCCAGAACTACTAGCTGGGACACCTCCCTTCTGCTGAAATAGAGAGAGAGCTGCTTTGCAGAAGAGTGTATTTGTGCCTCTGAGCGGGGCAGGACTGATAGCAGACAGTGTAAATGTATTAGGAAAGTCTCTGCAAAATGACTCGGGGATGGTTCAGGTGACAAACACTCCTCCCCAAAGAAAGGAAGAGGATGTAGTCCTGGGAGTCTCATTTCAATTAACAATCCTCACCCTTTAGGCAAGCTCAAGAGAGAGAGTAAGAGAACAGAATGAGTACGAGAGAGAAAACCTATTTACCTAAGTCAGACCTTAAGTCTTCCTGCTGCACGGCAGAACAAGATGAACAAACAAGGCAAGAACATCCTTTCACCTTGAAGTCACGTCTCAAGCATCACAAGCATTAGCAAAGCACCCGTCACCACAGCAGTCAGGAAACCAGTATGGTTCTAGTGCACAAAATCTCAGCCCTCAGTGGCTTCAGTTCAGTTATGCCCTTGCCACGTGCTGAACTGCAGACCTAAGAACCCTGCCCCTGCCGAGGGCACTGCAGTTGCACAGATATAGCTGACAGCAGAAAACTGTGCAATAGTTTCCGCGACACTCTTCCTTCTCTGCAGCTGTTGTACCTGAGGAAGCCGATCCAGTGTTCTTCATCTACTGGAATGTACACCTGGTCTACGCTTTGCACCACTGCTCCGTCCTTGATCCACAACATCTCGGGATCTTCCATTCCCTCCAGGCTGCAATTTAGTTTGACGGGTTGACCCTGGGACACCTTTAATTTGATTGGAGGTCCTGTAAATTTCATACCTAAAAAAAAAATACTACTCCGCCCCACCCCCAGAAGAAGGGGGGTTGGAGTACAGCAAATTACTCTAGGTTGGTGGTCTGGAGTTACATACCCTACCAGCACACTCTGCAGAGGGGTTGGTTAGTCTCAGGGCTGCTCTACTACGTCTGCTAAGCAACAGTCAAAGGCAAGCACTGAAAGCTCAATTGCTGGAGAAAAGTGGTGGCTCAGTCCGTACGTGGGGCATTTTTCAACTCGTGTAACAGCAGAGTGAGCTTCTGCAGAGCAGTGCCCAGGCAGAGCCGGGCAGAAACGCTGGGAGCTTCGTCGTGCCAGTGATCCAGCAGTGCTAAGCGCGTTCGCTCAGCACGGTACCACACCTCCCTCTTTTCCCCGGGCTTGGATTTCAGCTACGGTGTTCCTGTGCTGCTAAGAAATCATTGTGCTTGCTCCATTGTACGCATTTGTAAAGAGCTGGGATATGAAAAAGAATCAATTATGTCTCGTTATTCAGCGTACATGTTCCTCTGCATTACAGAAAGCTTCTCAGCAATTTGCAAAAGCCGTGAAAGCAAAGCCTATTCCACAGCGCACCTCGCCGAGGAGCAGAACTGTTTACAGAACAGACATTTCTGTTGTGTGACGTGGGCGTGTGCTCACACAAGCCTCCCTGACCCTTCAGTCCAGCCAAAGGACCACGTTACACTCAGAGCTAGATAGTTGTGACCCCAAAGCAGCAGGGGCAGAGTTGGTGGAGCTGCTCAGGTTTACATTGACGCAGAAGCGATCAGAATTAGGCCCGGAGCACTGCTACATGTGTGGGTGGATGGGGAGTGTCTCCCTCAAGCAGAAGCGAATATATGGAATGTGTTACCATGAGAAAACATGGAAAGCCAACTATGTAAGTGCATTTCAGAAAGAAAGGCATATAAAGGAGGAACCAGAGGATCAAAGGAGACCGTGGGAAAGCAAGAAGGTGGGGAATAAATGTAATGCTAGTTTTGTTAGGGAGAGTGGCCATTTCCTATGCAGTGGCACAGGACTGACAGACCAGAACAGGTCTAGCTTAGTTCAATATTATGCCCTGGCCCTCCACATCCTTCAGAAACAAATGACTCCATCACTGAGCTGTTCTTGCACAGCCATGTATCACAATACAGTAGAACTTCACCTAATTCACTGACTGGTCAGCTTCTCACAGGATGCCTCGCTAACCTACAGAGCCAGAGAGAAAAATGCCAGTTGTGAAATCCAGAGCGCTGCTAAATAAGCAGCCCTGTTGCTCTTGAACTCTGTTACAGCCTGACCAGTGATCAAATACAGAGACTTCTCATGTGTCGCTTCCCTTCTTGCCAACACACCACCCACCCACAGCCACGAGGGCACCACCTCACAGGGCAGAGCAACAGCGGAGGGACTGGCAGTGTGGGTGTAACAGCTGGAAAAAGTGGGAACCAGCGCTGTGGGACCAGCCAGAGCTCTGGCACTGGCAGCTGGTACCTGGCAGAGCTGGTGGTCCAGGAGCAATCCCAGAACACAGACAGAAGGACTTTATTCCTTTCCTTAATGAGATGCCCCAGCCTGTTAACAGCTGGCTTCCCACACTCAGTCTTTTGCCTTTCTATCTGCTGTTATTAATTTAGCAAATTCACAGAGAGCACTGGAAAACTGGTATGATGATTGTTTTAGTTTAGCTGCTAGAGCTCGTTTGCTGGGCTAAGAACTTAATCACCTTGGGTGAGGATGATCTAACTTTGCATTACTTAACTCATCTGTAACACAAATTACACGTCCCAGTGCGTGCCAGAAAGCATCCACCCTTTCACCGCTCACAATACTGGACTAAAACATGAAAGCTTCGCAGCAGCTCTCTCGGTGTTACAGAAAACTGATGTAGCCAGGCTGCTGAACGCACACACCAACTGACAGACACTTTCATTACAGGTGCCTTAATGGGAAAGCAAACTACTCGGCTTTCCTTAGACTGCCCTGCTGACAGAGTTAGCCACAAATTAAACCAAGAACTGTTGTTAAAGACCCTTTGTGGTTTTCAGTTCCCGTACAAATTAATGATGTAGGAAATACATAGTACAAGTGTTCAGCCCGAGTTGTAATTCTCCACATTGCCCAAGTATAATCCATCAAGATCAAATGAAATGAAGAAATATAGATCAGGGATTTTTAATAAATTACCAGGTTTTTAACAAAAATCCAGTTTTAGCTGCAGCATCTCTTCCTGCAGGTACCAGGAAGAAGCACATAGAAAGCCAATATGGATTTTAATTTCCACCTCTCCTTCCTTCTACTCTCCCACTCACCATTTCTTATCTGATAACATTCTCGCCAGCGCAAGAAATCATCTCATCCAAATAGGTTCCTCCCAGCCTACCTGTAAGAGCTGCAGGGGTTGGAATTATATGAAATTTCTTATCAACCAGCTGTCACAGAGCTGACAGCAAACGAACACACTGTTGTCAAAATACGGGATGTATTTGTTTGTTAGTTTGTTGTTTGTTTGTTTGTTTGTTTAAACTTGCCACCTCTGAATATTTTGATCCTTAGGAACAAAAGTATGCTTCTTGTGAAGTTATTTTAGGGGTGGAGAGAGAGGAAGACATCTACCCATGCATGCCAAGCGAAAGGTTTGTCGCTCCTCAGGTTCCTTAGGACGCTGAGGGAGCGATCCAACCCGCACCACAGCGCGGCCAGCCCCAGTGCCTGCCCCGCACATCGCTCCGCACCAGCGCCCAGCCCAGAACTCGGCGGGAGGGAGAGGCTCTCACACGCCGCCTTTCCCTGCCGACTCGGGGCCGAAACTTCGGCAAATTAGTTCAGGAGGGAAAAACCAACAAAAGCCGCTCAGGAATGCGTTAGCGCCCGGCTTTCCTCGGCGGCGACCCGCGCCAGGCAAAT